TCTCTTTCCTTATGTGTATGTGCACACATCCTTGTACCTCACCGCTCCAAAGTTAATCCAGGAAAGGTGAACATTCCTGCATCATAACTTGGACTGAAAGAGGAATGTGTAGAAAGTGAGCATGTCTCCAAAAACCTTGTTGGGCTGCAGGTTTAGGTTGAGTCTTGTTGAGCTTTTTTTATTTATTTTTTTACAGAAATTGTGTTTTGATTTATGTTTTTGATTATTGAGCTGCAGGTTTAGGCTCACTTAAGTGACTGCATTTTTTTTCCCATTTAAAAGGATTTTTATTTTATTTGTTTTACAGAAAATAATTTATGTTCTGATTATTGTTGAGCTGCAGGTTTAGGCTCACTTAAGTGGCTGCACTTAATTTAATTAAGAAGAATTCAATTATTTATTTTAATTATTTAGCCTGACATGTTTACTGTTCCAAAATGTTCTCGGTTTCTTAAAAATAAAATGTATTGTGTTCAGTGGGAAAACAAAAGTTGTTTTTTACCCAGACATTTAAAAAATAACATATTTTAGAGCTGTAATCGCAATACAGTGATATTTTTATCTAAGGTTATCATACCATCAGAATCTCATACCGGCCCATGCCTACATCACATTATTAACAGTGATTTTTGCAAGGTCATGCGGTGTAGAGCAGAAATTACACACTTTAAAGAAAAATGTAAAGCATGATTTAACTTCAGCGTAGCGATTATTAAGTGAGCTGCTGAATTACAATCATTGGCCTCAACTGGTTAAGTCTTTTGATGTTTGTAATACTGCTTTGGCTTAAAGGCTTCAGCAGTACAAGCTTCCAGCAATAACTCTCCTTCCAAACAAGGCTCATCAAGTGCTCATCAAACATTAGACAGAACTGCCCGTTCGCTTATATCATAACCTTTCTTGACAGAGTTTCTTCTTCATCACTGTCACTCTTTAAAATTAAATTAAAGTGAATGGAGAAATTCACAGATTTCTGGTGCACCCAAAATTACCCAGAGACCCCCAGTGCTATGCGAAGCGTGAAGAACACACAAGGATGGTCACGCAATTATGAACCCCTCCTCCACTCCTCAGTCGTGAGGCTTTATGAAATATTAAAGCTAACTAGCTGTCGCAGGATGCTCCCTGAGGCACAGGCAGTCGTGCTTTTTATTAGTGCACTGAACTGCAATTGATGTCAAGTTTCACTAGGGCTGGGTATCGAGTTCGATACTTTTTAGGCACCGACCGAATTGCCTCGATACCATCGAGTATCGAAAAACATCTCGTCATTCGGTACCAAATTTTCGATACCTAAGGGGTTAATCTCATCAGCGTCAGTGAGTCAATAAAGGCCCGGGTATACTTCATTTTTCTGCGTTCCGTTCTGTCTCGCGCTCAGCTGTGTCCGCACAGCTTTCAAAGTATACTCAACCGCGGATGAGTACAGACGGACGAGCTCAACACAGGCGCAGTTTGACTTGCGCTCTGTCTCAACTTTCACCTCGCGCATGTGCTGTTGTACGCGGACCGTCCGCGCGGTCTCAAAAAATTGCCTGCACACGGACGGGGTGCACGGCTGTCCGCGAGCCCTCCTGATGACGAAAATGACGTAATGTGGACGCGGACGGCCGAAGTATACTTTGGCCTTAAGCCTGCAGCACTAGCCGGTGTGTTCGACTAGAAGAGGTGCGGCGCAGATCGATCAGTGTTTGACATCCTCGAGAGCGATTCGAAAGCGCACAGAGCAGTCTGCTGTCTTTAGCTCTCGTGGTACTGTAATACACTGATCGGTCTGCACAGTCGGTCCGCGTCAAGTCGAACACACCTACTAGTTTACACCGGTTACACTCAGAGATGTGGCGCACACGTGAGGCTGTAGTGCTAATGCGTCCCAGCCCCCTTAGATGTAAGGCTACATTTACACTGGTGCGTTTATGTTTTAAAATGAAAATGATCCTCGTCATACTGGCGTTTCCACTCCGTTTCAAGCCGGCTTTCCACCATCTCCAAGCGACAAACTGGTCATTCAGTCATTCATTTCCAATGGAGAGTAGCGCGGGAGCTGCATGGAGTTCCGATCATATGCAGATGTCCGTTCATACTACACGAACGAAAGCGCGTGTTATGTGGCCATTCATGCAAACTGTAGCATCATGCTACATAAGACAATAAATAAGATTTATATTCCGCTTTTACTCAAAACTCACATCGAGTGTTTGCAATAACTTCCGATTGCCGTCTAATGTGTGTTTTGGCCATGTAATGTTGCTGAAATTAAATATGTTATTACCTCTGACTCGGAGTCAGAGCAGCGATCATGGAAGAGAGAACACAAGCAGACAGCGCTGGAAGCTGCTAATGCTCATCAGTAAATCAGTGGAAAATAAATAGAAATCATGATTCTGTCTGAGCTGCGTTTTAAAACGAACACGCACTCGTGTAAATGTAGCCTAACAGATGTGTAAACTGAAGACTATTTGAGCTTTATTAAAACTATTTGCACCGATTTATTGTGTTGGTTACACTGTTCCTTTCTGCAGTGGCTCAGGAGACGTGTCTTTGAGATTGTATAAACATCAACAAGCTGAAAAATAAAACCAAAGTTTTTTTTTTTTTTAATGTAATCTTGTTAAAATTGGTATCAAAAAAATTTCATAAAATTGGTATCGAAAAAAGTATCGTTCAGGAACCGGTATCGAAGTCAAGGTATCGTATCGGTATCAATATCGAACATTTTTTAACGATACCCAGCCCTAAGTTTCACAGGGTGTAATCATTTTATTTGATCGCATATTGATATCTACCTATTTCACAGCAAACACTTACCATATTTTCAGGAATATAAGTCACTTTTTTTTAAAATCATCTGAAACATGCTAATTTCATAAAATTGGTATCGAAAAAAGTATCGTTCAGGAACCGGTATCGAAGTCAAGGTATCGTATCGGTATCAATATCGAACATTTTTTAATGATACCCAGCCCTAAGTTTCACAGGGTGTAATCATTTTATTTGATCGCATATTGATATCTACCCATTTCACAGCAAACACTTACCATATTTTCAGGAATATAAGTCACTTTTTTTAAATCATCTGAAACATGCTGCAACTTGTATTCCAAATTGGCTTACATAACGCAATTAACGCCAATCATGCAAAGCATGCACAAAGTGAAGTCATTAGGACTCATGCCGAATGAGAGTTATTTCCCACACTCTGGCAGTTTCAGTTTCTCTTTAAATAATTTTTATTTAAACTTGGTGTTTATAGTAAATGTTGAATGATGAAAATGGTGAATACCACTATAATTTATGCTTGTTTTATACTTACATTTTTCATTCCTGTTCTGTTCTGAATACAGGCAAGTTTAAAGGATGTCGAGTGAGGGGAACTAAAATGTTTATGTTTCGCTTTATTTAAACATTTACTTTTATTTAACAGTATTTTACATAATTTCTGAATGTAATTAAAAAAAGTGTCTTATACACTGGTCCGACCTATCTGTGTTGCTTTTCTCTAAACAGTGCAATTTTGACCCTGTGTGACTTGTTTTCTGGACAATATGTTAAGTGACAGAATTTCAAATATGGTAGACTATTAATGTGACAGATACAGATCTGTATATTTTGAGTGCATGAGAATTCAGACTCACAGTTCATCTCGTTGCCTCTGTGACAGCACCATTTTGGCAGGAGAGTGGGGGCACTGTCTCTGCCCCAAGTAGGGAGCTGGCAAACAGTCCCGAGCAGCTCCTCAGCAGGACAAATTGTTGGATGAGGCACGCAATCACACTTTTGTGCAAACTGACGTCACTTTTGCAGCTTGGACCCTTCGTCCACAGCGACACACAAGACAAAATTGATGACCCACTGGAACTAACACCAATTTGATTCACTTGCCATCTAGGGAAAATGAGAGGGGAAAAAAAGATTAATTAGAAAAAGAAACAAAAACAGTTCATACAAGATAAATGTGAAGCGACAATAATTCTGACCTTGACCTGACTGAAGTCTAAAATGCCTTCAGCCATTTAGCCAGACAAAAACCTTTACAAACACAATAAAAGAGGGAGCCATTATTCATCTATTAGCATTCTTACTCACTCTCCAACTTATATTAAATCAAACTGGAATTCTGAGCATGTGTGCTCACAAGAAACCATCATGGCCAACTCAAACATCTACAATAACATTTAGCCCCTCGATGACAACCAGACTGGAAGTGCTGGAGGTGGCGTGGCGTAAATCTCCTCTGCAAATCCTGAGGGGATGGTGGTCCAATTAAACAGTTGTCCAGACGAGTAGTGGGGTGTTGGGGACTGAGACAAGACTTTGTAATCCTTTCAGTCGGTTTTGACAGCCCGTAAATATCCACTCTAATCTGTGCAGTGCAAACTAAAATAGCTTGACGCAGGTGAAAAATGCCTAATCTGGCCTTCAGAGAGCAGATGAGATATCCAGACATGTGGCTATATTTTGGACTTGGGAAAAAATATCAAATATTATGTTTAATGCAGTTCATTCCAAAAATACATTAATACAATTTTCACTTCAACAGCCCTTTCATTTGGATGCGATAAGACATTTTGCTGCCATTATCAAAACAGTTTAGGACCTGGATGGGGATTAAAAAAAAAAAAAGAAAAAAGAAATGCCTTATGTCTGCGAACTAATTTTTTATTTTTTGGCTCTACTGCCAATACATATCCTTTGAGGACATTCAAAGTAGTTCTCTTTAAACCAACCGTCTTTCATTTGACCCCAAGCTGAATATTCTTTATAATCACAATGTACCTGAACTTTTATGTACTTTGGCTGTTATTATTATTACACTGAATATTCAATATTTCAATAGTAATTGCTTTACATCCATCCTCAAGTCTATTTTTGGCTGAAAACTGGAGGAGGATTTTTAAAGCGATAATTCACACAAAAATGAAAACTGTCACCATTTAAGCACCATTTAGTCATTCTCATGTCGTTTCAAACTAGTATGAGCTTCCATTTACCATATTTGATGTGCTCTATGTGTGTGCACTGATCAATGCTTATGTGCATAAAAGCCTAAATGAAATCTGTACACTGTAAAAAATTTTGATTTTAACAGTAAAAGACTGTAAAAATGCTACAGTAAAAACCTGTTAACTGGTTAACAATAAGTTTCCATACTATATTCGGTGAATAAATGTAATTACATTTAATGTAATTTTACAGTAAAATACTGTTAAAAATACGGTTTTTGGAAATGAAAAAGAAAAAGTCATTGTATAATTCCTGTTAACAGTAAGTTTCCATACTATATTCGGTGAATAAATGTAATTACATTTAATGTAATTTTACAGTAAAATACTGTTAAAAATACGGTTTTTGGAAATGAAAAAGAAAAAGTCATTGTATAATTTACAGTGAAAAACCGTAAATTGACACTCCCAGAATTCCCTGCATGACACTTCATATTTTATGTTTTTTTTTGTTGTTGTTGAAAACATGTTTCTTCTTATTTTTTTTCTTATCAGTAGTGTACATTAGGGTTTAATCTTACATCTAATGTTGTTAAATTAATGTTTATTGCATTATTTCAGTATCGTGTGTCACCATGATGGGGTTTAGTGTTTGTGTGAATGACACTGTGCACTGTGCATATATATAAGTATTGCCCTCCTCAGCTCCTAGAAAAGCTGTTTGTGATGAGCTTTGGTTCATTATGTGACTCTCATCACCACCAGTTTTTGGTGGTTATCAATGCATTACAATGTCACCGATTTTTTTTATCTAACTGCACCATGGTATTGTGGCAGAAATGTGGGATATTCATATCGAATTTTATTATATTATTAATATAGACATGTATTAAATGTATTAAATGAGTAATGAAATATAAATACATTATTTTTGTGATTAATCTGTAGCGTCTGTGCATTTATACTAAATGTATTTAGACTACTGTTTTTCATACAAATACCTAGAAACCATATAGTTATATTTTGTGTGGTTTTAACTGTGGTTATCATGATCTAAAATGTATGGTACCATGGAAGACCAATGGTTTATTTTAATAAAACTCAAACAGTCAGAATAATTACATTTTAAAATATAAAAATGAGGTTGTTAAATTTTTTTTATAGATCTTAACGTTTTTGAAACTCAAAAACGTTAAGTGTTTGTCATGTTCGGACCATAAAGAGTAGTTTAAAAACACAATTAACAGTCTGGTTTCTACAACTTTAACTTAGGACCAAAATTCTGCCTTTAAACTTGAAAGAAATAAAGATTTGAATTTTATTGTGATAATTATTGTTATCGACTAATATGAAAATTTTATCATGAAAAGTTTTTGGCCATATCACCCAGCCCTAGTTATACGGATGTCTTTTTGAGAAAATAATAAAAATATCTTCATTTGTGTGTTAAAGATGAACAAAAGTCTCAAGAGTCTGGAACGACATGAGTGATTACATTTTCAGAATTTAAATTTTTTGGTGAACCATCACTTTAAGTCTTTTGTGTATAACTAACAATAGTTTGAAATGCACTACTGCCTAACATAATTAAATATAAAAATCATGTTTGGAATAACATGATTGTGAAAATAAAGGTTTGAGCACTAAGCGTGCTCAATTTTTCTATTAAGATAATTAAGTTCTATTAAGTTGGTCCACATGCCAACCCCTCAGAATTTTGCTATAAGTTTGATTGCATCATATAATAATTGCTGTTAATAGTGTTAATCGTCTTTTTGATTACATCTTTAATTGATTTTTCCGTACATTTCTGCCATATGTTTATTAACTGACAGTCACCACTGATAAGCTATTACTAAATATTGTAGAAACCTAATTTGCTGTAAAGTTGCTTTGCAACGATTTGTATCGTGAAAAGCGCTATACAAATAAACTTGAATTGAATTGAATTAGCGTTCTCGTTGCACATTACCACAAAACTGAACTGTGGACAAACTGAACCAACAGTTCATGTGGAACAGTCATAAACAATAAATTGCTCTGAGGCCACTAAAAAAAAAAAAACTATCAAAAGCCCTATACTATGGAGGAATATTCAGGACTTTTTTTCAAAAGCAATTGCAAATTGCATTTTCAATTGCGTTTTCCACATGTGGGCGCATAAATTGTGACAATCCAAACGCAATTGCAAATCTTGCATTACTGTTTGCATTTTCACTTTCGCGAACGCACAGTGACTGCCACATTTCAAATGAAAAAACAAAGTCCATTTGCAACTGTATTTCCCATGTCTTACGAGTTATGAGCCTGTCATATTTAAATAGCAATATTAATTACCACATTTGCTTTTTCACTCTCTCTGCGTCGTGCATATAACCTGCAAAAACTCAAATGGAATTGCAATTGAATTTCCGATATCCACACGGAAAGCTGTCAATCAATGTGAGGGGGCGTGTTTGTATTGGGAGGTGATGTCACTCACAGACGATCGTGCCGAATCTTTGATCAATGGAGGTAATCGGTAAAGGCTCCGCTAAAGGCAGCTGCTAATCAGTTCGTGCCTGTGTCAACAAACAGACAACCTTCTTGGCACCGTGCCGAATCTTTGATCAATGGAGGTAATCGGTAAAGGCTCCGCTAAAGGCAGCTGCTAATCAGTTCGTGCCTGTGTCAACGAACAGACAACCTTCTTGGCACAATACATAATTCTGTCTTTTTTACCCCAAATGCAGCGATTATCCCCTGCTAACAGCGGGAGCAACAAAGGTACGCTTTGTCAATATTGACGATAAGTCAATATTCACTATTACCCAAACGCTTTTCACTGGTCTCAACATTTCTCCCTGTTTCCCTCACTCCGATTGATGCAAGTAAACAGACAATTCTACACTTATTACAGTACATTTTATTCCTTTCTTTTAATCTATTAGAGTACATTTTATTCCGTTCTTTTAATCTGTAAAAGCGCGTCACACCTGCCTCACTATTTTTTACTGTTTGAAAAAAAAAAAACAGTGCCAATCTATATTTATTTACCCATTTTCCACCTTGTATATTTTATATTATTTCATATTTTAACAGTTTTAATCCGTTATGGAGCACGCGTCCCGTGGACCTAACACCAAAGCGTCGCGCAAGCCTCAGATCTCTCACTGTGTACAGCCACCTGACACTGCGATTGATGCACATGATTTTTAATATTAATTTACTTTGGCTGCGGCGGCATGTTCTGTGACAGCTGCGCCTAGATCGTTGGTGTAAAGTGAAGACTCATCTAGGGCAGGCAGAGCAGGAGTAGCAGCATTGTCTGCTTTGTCACATGCATCAATTGGAGTGTAAACAGACAGAGATCTTGAGGCAGGTGCTCTATTATAAGATAGGAATAAGATATAGGTGGCAAATAGGTAAATACGTGCAGATTTGCACTGTCTGTTTGTTTATGTGCCTCAATCGGAGTGCAAACTGTAAAAGATCTTGAGGCAGGTGACGCGCTCTCTATTACTACGGAAGTTCTAAGCCTAATCTTTAGTATTTTCTACATTTGTAGGAAACCATAAGTGTAGAATTGCACTGTCTGTTTACTTGCATCAATCGGAGTGAGACAAACTGAGAGATGTTGAGACAGGTGAAAAGCATTTGGGTAGTGAATATTGACCTATCGTGCGTACCGTTGTTGCTCCCGCTGTTAGCAGGGGATAATCACTGCATTTGGGGTAAAAAAGACAGAATTATGTATTGTGCCAAGAAGGTTGTCTGTTCGTTGACACAGGCACGAACTGATTAGCAGCTGCCTTTAGCGGAGCCTTTACCGATTACCTCCATTGATCAAAGATTCAGCACGGTCGTCTGTGAGTAGTGTCGTCACCTCCCAATACAAACACGCCCCCTAGTATAGTCCCGCCCCCTCACATTGATTGACAGCTTTGCGTGTAGACATT